ATTTTCCAAGAAACCCTAATGGTTTCCATCCCATTTTGTCAAGTCTTTCCCTTCCTTTCTCCCTTCATCCCTTCAATCATCCTTTTTTGGTGAAATCTTCTCTGTTCCTTTGCACAAAATCAGGGGTTTTGGGAGCTCAAGGCTCTCCTTTCCCGCAGCTGCACAGTGGGGGACTCCATTAACAGATGCACATGCTTGGTCTGAAGGGTGCTTCTCTTCCTGGCAGCTTACATGCTAATATTCCCTTGGGTCCTTGCATGTTTCTTTTGCTTTGAAACTTGTTTCTTCCTTCTCATCAACCAACGTGATCTTCCATGGCTTCTTTATGGCTTTATCCTTCAGCCAATAGATGGGGTTTTTTAGTTGTTTGCTACCTCTATTTTCTAGGATAGGAAATCAGCCCCTTAAACAAATGGGCCACCCCTATCAAATATTGGGCTATTTGGGTTAGTTTTAGTAGGCCATTTTGACTGGGCTTTTGGTTGAACTATTTTCCCCTTTTTGTGCTCACCCATATGTTTGGGCCTAAGAAATGGGCTTGGGTTCCGAGGCTCCCAAGCAACCCGGAACCTGCACTTCTTGGTCCATCAATAGGCCTCATGACAATTTATTACCATCCATACCACAACCCACTCAAGCAAGCGCCGGGCATTTGAGTGGCTTGGGCCCACTTAGGCTTGTAGCGTGGTTGGGTGCGGGATAATAATTCCTTACTTGGCGTGGCATGTCGCTTGGCGCGCTTCAATTTTATCGTCCTTGAAGAGGGACACGGTGCTTAGTTTAGCATGGGCTTGTATTTTATAATATTATTTCAGCCCTTGGCATGACAAATTACTTATTTAGCATGACACGTGGACTATGACTTGTATATAACGAGCCTTCGTGTACTCCGATATGTGACTTTTCTTAATACAGTATCGTATTGGGCCAAAAACTTATTTGGGCCCAACCGTGGACTTTTTTTTGGGCCTCAACACTTTCCCAGAGTTATTATGGGTATAAAGAATTTAGCATTTTTTATGTTTAATACTCGTATTATACACGTACATATGTATTTTTCAATAATACATCTGTTTTCTGTACATGACTTAAAGACAAGGTAAAATACATGTTTTTAAAAAAGCAAATGTACAATACTCATATTGTATACATACGTACATATTTTTCATGTTTAATACACATGTTTTTTTTTTTAAATTCAATAATATACACAAAATTCACGTATTATAGATAGATACCGGCTGGTTTAAGAATTGATGGGATACAAAGTGTGGAGTGTGTATGATTAACAATGATTTGTTTATTAATCATATACGATTAAACATAGACCGTTGAGATATTCAAGTAAGAAGAGACTAACTAAATCACAGTCGAGTTCAGGGTTGCATATGCAAGCAACTCCTTACTACTCTCAATCATGGGATGTCATCTTTCATCAAAGTAAATGACGCTTCTATGCCCACGCCGTCACTCATATCCATCAATGTGACCCTGTTATTTATTTCAATGCTACTGATGCTCACCCATGACGGCTTTCCCCAACCAAAATTGGTTTTGTAGAAGGGAAACCGGCACCAACTGGTACACATATAGTCAATGGAAGGTTGGGGTGAATTGAGGAAATCCAGAGGTGGGAAAAGATATATCTCCTACAAATAGTATAGCTGGCTATACTCAGGATTTTTTTTATTTTTTATTTTAATTTTTTTAATGTTTTTAAAATAGTATAGCTAGTCGGCAGTACTACCCTTTTTATAAAAAAAAAAAAAAAAAAAAAAAAACCCCCCCGG